TGGCAGCCCACCACCCTCTTCCCCCCCTCCCTTTCCCCAGCAGGCAGCATCCCTGGGGATGGACCCCATCCTCTTCCCCATTTTGGGTCTGACGGGCAAAATCTGCATTTTAACCTCCAGCCGGGGCACGAATGGTTTTTGTAGCGTGAAATTCATGCAGGTGCTACCCCCTGCCCCCCTCCAACGGCAGGGGAAATGAGGATTTTGGGGGGGGGAAAGATAAAGAAGGAATGAGGAGATATGAGGAAGGCAAACGCAGAGAGCTTCCAGCTGGAGCTCCAGGCACAGCCCCGTGTGGGCACACGAGCCACCAGAGCATCCCCACCCTGCCTTGGCACCGCGCGTGGCAACAGCCGTCTTAGGGCAAAACCCTTCAGCCAGGCGAGGGGAAAAGCCCTGAGTGAGGGGTTACACCCCTGGGTAACCCCCAAACCCAACCAGCCCTGGCTCTAGGAGGTCACTTAAAAAATGGGGAGCATCTCTGGGGAAGGCTCTCACAAATTTTGCTCCTGTTCCTCCCCTGCTCCTTCAACCCCTGGCAGCTGTGGGTGGGTTATTGCACGATCCACTCGTCAGAACCCTGCAGGATGGGGTCAAGGGGTTGGGATTTCTCAGGACCCCCCTCTCCAGGTCCAGTCAGATTGGGGTGTGTTGTGGCTGTAGGAGCTGGCAGTGTCCTGACCACCCCGGGATGGCCGTGAGGGTAGGAATCACCCCTTCCCCAGGGGCTGGAAGGATTGAAGAGTCCCTATTTTAAAGGGGGATATTTTCCCCCTCCTCCTTTAGAAATAAAAGCCGTGAATAATCCCAAAAAACAACTCAGCCGCTGCTTTGGCATGTTCAGGAAGGACATTTCCAGTGGGAAACCCCTCCGATGCCACCGACACCCCGTTTACATGCCCCAGAAACGCCAGAAAAGGGGGAGAGCCCGGGGGTTATTGGGGTTTTAATGAGTTTCTGGGCGTTGCCACCTCATGGCAGGTCCTGTGCTCACCCACAGATTGGGGAGGGGTGTCCTGGGGATGTCCCCACACTTGGCCCACACCCACAGAGACCCCAGAGAGGGTCGTGGTGGGATGCAGGAGCAGGGTCCTGGTGCTCGTGGACTGGCAAAGGGCGAGCTGAGAACTGATGCTCTCTAGACATGAGGAGGTGGGACAACAGGGATGGGCTTGGATCACAGCAGAGGCTGAGTGTGAGGCGTGTTGCTCCTGGCACGCGTGTGCACACGTGTGGGTCCTGCAGACGTTGGGTAGCTCGGAGCAGGGAAGGACCAGACGCATCCCACCGGCATCTGCCATCATCCCAGTGTGTGTCCGTCACTTCCCACCGCACCAGGGCGTGCCCGTCCCAGCAGCACGTACCCACCACCTCCCACCACATGCATGTGCATCACACTATCCCGGTTCGTGCTCACGTAACGCCACGTGTGAGGGCCCATCCCACCCTCCCAGTGCGTCCCTCACACTGGTGTGTGCCCATCCCACCAGTCTGTGCCTGTCCCACCAGTCTGTGCCCGTCCCACCAGTTTGTGCCTGTCCCACCAGTCTGTCCCCTTCCCAACAGCACGTCCCACCTCAGCTGTGTGTCCCTCAAACTGCACCAGCTCACCTCACCAGTATGTCCCCATCACACCTCACCAGCATGTCCCCATCAGACAACACCAGTATGCACCTATCTCACCAGTATGTCCCCATCACACCTCACCAGTATGTCCCCATCCCACCAGTATGTGCCCATCCCACCACACTGGTACATGGCCTTCGTACCAGACCAGTGTGCACCCATCTCACCAGTCCGTATCTATCTCATCACACCAGTGTGTGCCACCTCACCAGTCCGTGCCCATCACACTGCACCAGTCTGTACCAGCCCTACGTGATGGTGTCCCCAGCCCCTGGGACACCTTGCACTGACCCTGGCTCTTTCCTCCCCCAGGAACACTCTTGCTACAGACGCCCAAGGATCTCCACGCCATGACTCTGGCTGGTACGGCACCATCACGGGGCCGCGTGTGGGGAGGGGGGACAGCACGGCGTGACCAGCCCCATGTACCCAACCCTGACACCTACCTCCTGCTGGGACACCCGTAGTTTGTGCTCCGGGCAACCCCTGCCCTAGGATGCTTGGTAAAGCATCCCACCTTTGCGTGCCTCAGTTTCCCCTTTGCACACCTTGTTTCCCCCCCAACTCAGATCACTCTGCTTGCAACACCTGGGCAAATTTGGATGCCCATCCCCATCCCAGCCCTTCCCTGGGACACCTGGCAGGACCCCCCCACCTCTCTGACCCCCAAACCCACCATCTCTCCTCAGCTTACAAAGAGAAGATGAAGGAGCTACCTCTCGTCTCCCTCTTTTGCTCCTGTTTCCTCTCGGATCCCCTGAACAAGCCAGCGTACACGTATGAAGGTAGGACCCTGCTGCTCACCCATGGTTGGGGTGTGTGTGAAGGGTGGGGACTGCAGACACTCCCCACACACCCCTTTGCCTCTTCAGGGGCACCCCCCAGCCAAGAGAGG